CCTTCCCACTCTCGCCAAAGTGCTTGCTCATAGGGCGTCATGATTGTTGGGGTTTTCTGTGTTCTGTATACTATTGCAGGGTCTTTACCTTATAATATAAAGCGCCTTGAGGCAACTGTTGTTGTGATTTGCTGCTATATAAATAAATCTGAACTGAAACTTGTATGTGGTGCTGGCTGCGGTTTAAGTCAACCACTTCATTAAAATATCTGTTTATCAAGGAATTCTAACCTGGTGTTTCAGGATGGTTGGAATAGTTTTACTTTAAATCTGGAAGCAAATGTTTCTCTTTCAATCCTCGACAGAAGTCAACAAAGAAGAAAACTGAACAACATCACAATGAAAACATCTACAAAAGGTCAAATCCAAAACGAATATTGAATTGAATATGATCATATACTGCACTGGGTAGCGCATCCATTATCCATTAACTTGTCTGCTTTGTGCTGACTTTAGGGTAAGGCAACCACTTCTCTAAACTAGCTGCTTACCAAAGAAATCTGTCTAGATGTTCGAGTTTCCTTTGACAGGAATGGACAAAAAAGAAAACAGAATAACAACACACAAAAGCTCAGAAATCACAAAAACAATTCAGAAGATTTTGACAAACTGCACAGCTAAATACAAGTTCACTTCACCTGATGCCACATGCACATAGAGCTGACTGTGTTTTCTTCCATATGCTTCACACTGATAGAGGCCATTTAGGTCAGAGCTCAGACTCAGCAGTTGTAGCTTTGCACCCTTTACTTTGACAGCAGACTGCAGCAAAGACTGGCCAGATCTGGAAAAACATGAACGAGACTCTACATGAAATTTTACAGAGAGGGCAGTACAATGTGAGTTGTGCCAAAAGTCAAAAGAATTTCAGTTATTAGCTCTTTGTTAGCAATGCTAAACTGCACACTGTGGTATTCAAGAGTCTGGCCTCATAGCAGAAGAGTCCAGAGTCTGAACTCTCCAGACCTTTCACCACATTTGCAGCTAGTATCGTCAGGTTATAGGTTATTGAATGTTATTAAATAAAGACATAAGAGTTCACAGTAGTAAACACGGTCATGTCCTGACTTGTTTTTAGATGTATTGTTTCAAGTTAAAAGTTAACCAGAAAAAAAAGTTCTGATTGAACATTTTATATGTTTGCTGTGTTCTACTATTAATAAAATGCAACATTTTTTCAGATCAATGCATTCTGTTTTTATTTACACATTGTCTCAATATTTTTTGTAGCTGATTTTATATCTGCATGCTAATGTTGATTGCTATACAAAGGTTTGGGCTGTAAAACACTTGTTGTCAGCATCCAAATGATGTTTCCTTTGTTGGAAGACCAAAACTTTAGCAGTATATACTATGTGCAGTATTTTTATACGTGTATAAATATATGTCATTTATTTTCTGAATATACAGCTTGCTCACACGCTGCTCCCAGTGCTGATATTTTCTGAAAACACTGTCAGTGTAAAATAAGGAGGGGATGTTTTTCTCATTATCATTCATTATTTTAATATGGCATTATTAGTTCATTAGAAGTATATAACCAGCTTTGCATTAAACATAAATTGAAGTTTTTGAC